ATCTTGAAATTTGACGACTTTTCCTAAAATGACAAACACACACACACACACACACACACACACACACACACACACACACACACACACACACTACTTGAATTTCGAACCAACTTTTCAAATAGAAACAGTGTTTAAAAATCCATCCATTCATTCTCTTCAACTTTCTAATTTAGGGTCTCAAGGGGGGCTGCAACCTGTCCAGTTGCCTTATGGAGACCATATGGCATATGGTTGCCTGTCTGTCACAGGGCTAAAATGAAAATATGTCTGAAAATGACAGATAATATAACAAAATAGAACAGATTAATTTTTTTGTTAGTGGACAATTGTCTCATACACTTTTTACTGTAGGTTGGACAGTTCCTAAATTACTGAAACCATATACTATACTTACAGCAAATTTATACAATTTTAACACATCACACTTCCTGTTTAGTAATAGAGCAGTGATGTCTTACTGATTCACATGTCAAAATCTTCCTCCTGCTTTGGGGAAATTCTGGAATTTCTCTGAAATATTTTCCATCCATAAGATCTTCAAAAGACTTTCCTTTCCATTCTTCTCCATAGAGCGCTGAAAACTTTTCACTGATGTCATGATAGTCATTATCAACATCCATTTCACAGTCTTCATTATCCCCAAGAAATTGATGAGATGACCACAACTCATCTTTCCACTCCTTAAAAACAAAAATGCTTTTCAGTTTTATTAAAAGGGCCAAAACCCAGAAAAATAAGACATTATATTTCTGCAGCTAAAACTAATTTTACCTCTGGTGTGATGAACTCAATGTCTGCCTCATAGTTAGAGCCTTGCATGTTGGCCTCCACTTTGATCATGACTGAGGTGCATGCACTGACACTTCCAGAAGGCAAAAGGTTCTTCTCTTCAATGATGGCATTTATCAGAGAACTCTTTCCAGCCCCAGTTTTACCAAAGACACCAACCAGCTCCCTCTTGTCTGTCTCCAAATCACTAATTTTTTTCCTGTTAAATGAGATGAAGAGTTAAATTTTTACCTCAAATTTGTGGATACCAGAAACAGCAAATAAAAGTCGTTGTACTATACAGACTTACCAGAAATTCACAAGAATAAAAGTCTGGCAGACTTAAATCGAATCCAAGTGAGACTAACTGTGATCCACACTAAAAGCATTGGAAGAATTCATTTTCTGTTTTAACCTGTCTGTCAGCAATACAACTAATAACTTGTATTGCATATTATTGTAACTTATAATGTAAGTAATAGTAAAAATACTTCACCAGTCAAGAAATACATTGGTAATACTAGCACAAAATGTAGGTTCATAGACTCAGCAAAAAGAAAACTGTTATTTCTTGTAATGAACATCCCCCAACAATGAAAGACAGCTCATGTGCTCCCAAACAATGGAGGTCTTGAGTCTTACGAATTAAATAAGGAATGAATGTCCATGTTTCCATGATTATTTATGATTCTAGAATCACTTGCTGGCAAACAAACAAACATGGTTTTCTAACATGGCTACACAGACACAACAAAGAATATGGAAACTTAATACTCACTTTAGGAAAGCACTGAGCTTGTCTTTCTCGTGTAGTCTGGCATGGACAAATTTCATTATGTTTTTTACATCAGACAGCACGATTGCTTCTGTAAGCAAAGAAGTAAATAATTATTTAGCAGGAGCTATAAACCAGTGAAACCATCCCAATGATCCTTTCTCTGAGTCCTTTCTGAATGACCATCTCACCATATCACTAATTTGTCACTCCACTCTCACTTGTGAACAGGACCCAAAGACATATTTTACTCGAAGCAAACGTGCTTCCCTGAGAGGCCACTCCATTCTTTTCTCACAGGATAAAATACCTTCTTGAATTCCAAAAAACCCAAATAGATTGGTTTGGAAAACTCCCATGCAACCTCAAATATCTTTGACAGCATAAAATGATGGTACAGTGTTTTGTGATAACTACGAATGCTGGATTTTCATTCCTGATTCAAAAGGTTCATCTAATAGCTGGACTCTCCTCTGCACTGGCAGTTTTTCGTTCAGCTACTGCCAGATCTACATTCTACTTGGCCTATCCCTAACTGCCAGTTAATTCTCGAGCCCCACAGGCTCAAAACCATGAGTGACAGGACTCCTCCCCAAACGTGATCCCTTCACCTTCAGTGCCCACCAGGGCTTGACTGGTAATCTGGCATACCAGACATTTGCCTGTTTTGCCAATGTGCTTTTAGACCAATGGCTGCTGTGGACCATCCACACAAACACTGACATCTGCCTATTCATTAATTAATTGCTATCATTAACTGACACTGTTTTACCCAATCAAATTGCTTAACATAACCAGGTCCTCTCCACCTTTGCTGTGCACTCACACACCTTGTAGAACAGAGTTTATTGTGGAAGAAGTGGTGAAAAGATGAATCTGAAAAGCTAAGAGAGAAAAATTGAAAAAAAAAAAATCCACTTACAATAAATGCAACAAAATATGTCAAGGTAACTGACATGTTAGCAGCTGCACCATCAACAGTGGTACCAACAACACCACCGACACCAACAAGTAGCAAGCCCTCACACTCACAGGAGGCTGATGTTACTAGCATCAGCAATGGAGAAGTACAGGAGGGACAGGAGTCCACAAAAGAGTGAGGAAGGGATGGAGAAAGGTGAAAATACCATGGTAAGAAAATAGATGAAAGGACATAATTCGGGAGAAATTCAAGGATTCTGGTAAAATGAATGGCTACTTTGATGATATGCCACCTAATCTCTAAAGTGTGGCTTTTAATTGTCACATGCTACATTACAGTGCAACTAAGATATGCTAACCAAACAACAGCTTTACCAATCTGATTAAACCTGTTTAGACTAGCATCTAGACTAATTGTAAAACAACAAGTATCTCATTGTTCCAGCATCCAAGAGAAGTAACTGCTACCACAACTCAAGACTGATGCTGTATAACACAAATGCTATGGTAATGGTGGGACAGGTCACGTCAGGTCAGAGGGGATTTTATGATCACCAGATCTCACAGAGCTCCAAGAACAACTGGTGTATTCAAGGGATTGATTACGAGAGCAGCTGAGCTTAAAGAAAAGATTGTGGCTACGCTGAAAACCTGGATCCTCCATGGTTGATTACCAAGAGTATGAGACGTATCCTCTGACAGTCTACTAGAAGAAGTGCATGCCAAGGTCAAGGCAGCACAGAGGGAAGTTAACCAATTATTAGAGCTGCAGAAAGGTGTGATGAAGAAAGGGATGCTTAAAAAGTACAGCAAGCTACCCATGCCCAATGCCTTATAAACTGCTAGGCAAAGACTCATAGCCTTCACTAATCACCTGAAGAGGTACGCCAGAGAAAGAGAGGCCAGGAGAACAAGCCAGATGCTCTTTAGTAAATCATCCAAGGTGTACGCTAAGTGGCAGGGGAAGAATATGAGAACAGCAGATATCTCTGTCCAGATATTCCCAGATCTCACTGTCAAGTGTTGAAAGCCCTAGGTAGGGCAGTAAAGCCTCCTCCCCATGACTCCAAAAAGTTTTTTAGTTGTCATTAATGTGGATTAGTTCAAATGACAGTCAGGACCCATGGGCTGGAACTGGGGAAATATGAGTAACTCGGCCCTGCCAACCACATCTCACTAAGCTACTGGAGTAGTTCAGCTCCTGCCAGTCTCAGCAAGAGTAACTCCGGTTTTGAACACTCCAGCCCCCTTCAAGATGACTGGTTCTGAGCTCATGGTGTCTTGTAGTAAGCCCAGCTAAGTCAGGCTCCTCCGCTCCAGTGTTAGTCAATACAAAATGTAATACAAAGAGGCAAAAATGTTTGAACATTATGTATCATGCTCATAATATGGGAACTTGGCAAAAACATGAAATATTTAATTATGGTATATGTGGCATGCCAGCCGTTGCCTCTTGAAAATTCAATTTTATTAACATACTTTTACACCAATAAACCAATGAAAAAAATAATTTGAAAAAAAAAATGCCATTTTTGTTAAATGGCATTGTTTATAGAGAAATACCCAAGTATGGTCTTGGTTGGGAGCTACGTTGTCGTTTAGCTGGTGGTTGCAACTTGCTGGACTCATCTGGATGTTCAAACCTTCTCTTTCCTAAATGAATAAAAATAAAATAAAATAAAAATGTACAAATAAATAATTTTAAATGGGATTTGCTCAGGAGTGAAATTTAATACTCAAACTGACTTGTATTATTCTGTCCAAGTGAAAACACTGTTGTCTTGAAAATACTGCTAATACTTGTAATATATAAGATGGCATACATCTTACCTTTATCACTTGTGGATGCCAAAACCTGGGGATCAATGTACATATTTAATGCATGAAAAATTAAGTAATCAAATATAGGAATTTAATCATATATAAATCTTACTTGAGCTATATCATATCATATCTTTTTGCTCCTGTTAATAGTGCAAAGTAACTGAAACACTGTAATTGCTATTATTGATCTTGGCCATTTAAATGAAATTGTATTTAACTTACTTGAACAGACAAATTGACTGTTTCCTGATTTATGTTTTGTTCTTCCTAGTAAGAACAAAAAATTCCAGGTAAATAGTTTTGTGTTAATATGTGTTTGCATATACCAATCCAATTCTAATATAAATTCACAGAAATTGAGATTTATCAGACCAAATATAACAATATGCAAAATAACTTTAGAAATAAACTGACTGAGAACCTTCACAGACAACTTTAGAAATACTAATTACATGCAGTACAATTACTTTTTTTAATTAATTAATTAATTAATTTCTGTGTCTGTCCCATTTGGTTCTTTAGCCGTCAGAATTGTTGTCTGAAGGCCAAAAAAGATACCCAACGGATTTACTTTACCAAGTGGATCATCACAGCTTTGCCGTATTGGTCCATTTGATCAACATTTGTTATTATTATTTATTTTATTTTCAGTTGTTACAGAGGGGACAGACATGGCTGGGGGATAGGAAAGGCAGAAAGAAAGATGAAAGAAAAGAAAAACAGAATGGAAGAGGGACAGTGCGAAAGGGTACTTAAAAAGAAAAACAAAAATCTTGCTGATCACCTATTAAGAGAAAAAAAAAAGAGACAACAAGCAAAAAAAGAGAGCAGCATAATAAACACAACACAAGTACAATTACCTTTAACTGCTTTAATTTCTGCTTGAACGTTAATCTTGGTCCAACTTTTGGAATCAACTTCTCAATGAGTTCATCATTAAGTTCATATAAACTTTCCTGTGTAATTTCTTCATCTGTAATTAAAAATTTAAATCTTAGTAATGCAGTAGTGCAAATCATTTTAAAATTACTACACATATGCATATGATGAAGGAGAGTTTAGTTATAGACACAGCTGTTAAAGTGTAATTTGCCCTCACAGGGGTAATTTAATACATTGGTTGTTTGAATTGAAAGCATGTCATTTGTGTCTTCTTTTATTAATTTATATTTTTACTTTTCTCTGTTAATTTAACAACCTACAACATGCTACAGAAAAGTAACTATCATAACTATTATCGAGATTTGTATAAAATGTACCAATGTGTTGCCGTTGGTGCATATGTACTACTCCAGTACAGTAGGAAAATTACCTGCTTTGCTGCAGAACAAAGTTGCAGCATTTATGTCTACACTAACAGATTCTTTTTCAGTATTCACAAAAGCTTCTCTGGCTACTCTCTTGCTACGTGTTGTTGCCACATTGGGTGGCTCCAAATGCTTCATTAGGTAATATGCTCTTCCTGATACATCACCAAATCTCCAGCTGGAAACAATCCAGTGACCTTTCGCTTGCCAAATTGTCATGTTAAACATCACATTATTATTGTATAAAATCTGTGTTCATCAGTGATGCATAGATATACCTTACCTTCAAATTTATCCATCCACTTTTGTAGATCCCATTCAGTAAGTTTGTGTCGCACAAAATCATCCATGACCACAAAGAGAAACTGGAAGATAAATTGTAATTTCTAATCAAACAACAAAATTGCTAGGAATAGGCAGATATATAAACAATACGTTTAGAGCAAAAGTTCAAATAGTTTACCTGCTATTGAAGATGCGGTAGAAAAGGTTCTTTCAGAGAGGGTGAAGTCAGCCAGAAGGCATAGACTGGGAACAGTCAGGAACAAAAACAAAAAAGGAGAAGTACAACAATAAGTAGAAGTTTTAAAAACAAAAGTCGATTAAGGTAAAAAAAAAAAAAAAAAAGCAAGAGAAGGTAAGTGGAACAAAAGGAGGTGAGTGGAACCAGATCTGAACATAAACAGATGCTAGTGTTATTGCAGAGGTGCCGGAAGTGGCTGGATGTTTGACTATAGGATCTTAGTGGATATGTAAAAATAAGGAGTGAGTGAAAGACTAAATACAGAAACACTGACATTTAGTTTTGTTTGAATGTGGGGGGAAAAAACCCAGCTAGGAAAAATGTAAAAAGGAATAACTTTGGTAAACAAATACATAAAGACAAAACAAAACTAACAGCAACTGTTAGGTATGACAAGCAAATGTGTTCTTTGGAGACACTCAGATTCTTTACTATTTTGTCAGAATGTCAACACAATTTTGATAAAACAGCACAAAAAGAGTCTGGGTTTACTTCCAAAGCTATGTTTAAAATAAAAATTTATATAAAAAAAAAAACCCCCCACCAAACTTAAAAAAAAAAAAACTTTCCAAAAGGAAGTTCTCTGAAGAATAAACATAAATACATGACACAGATTTGTTCCATGTCTTCAGTGTTTATGTATTTATGTTATACATCTATGTTTATGTTATTTACAGGGTCAGAAAGGCTGCAGGAAGCAAGATTGACTGAATAAGTGATGCAACAGCATGGCAAGATTGTTTTCATAATATACACAAACTGAAACTAAAGAACAATGCATATACAATTTCACCTAAAACAAAACTTTCCAAAAGATACAAGAATATATGCATTTACCAAATATAAAATCAGTTTTGCTGTTTCATTACTGGGTAAAACTTTAACCTTATTAAAACGGCCTTGATTAACTATGATGTGTTTTTGTCCTAAGTAACATTATCAGTGTTTTTAATGACACTGAAGGTGATCTATTCAGCAGCTGCACTGAATCCATGAAATAGTCACAGGTCAATATTAGTAAAGCTGCTACTTCAACCTGAGACTCAAAAAGACAAGATTTTGAGTTTCCCATCCATGTCTTGCACACACACTATGGTGCAGTTTAAACCAGAGGTCCATAAATAATCAAGGCACATGGAAGGTCCCACCACTAAGGCATCCAGTTACTTCCACTTTATTGCATCAGCCCCTGATAAATAGAAACAAGTTATTAATTTATCTAAAATATTCGTAAAAAAAAGCCTCTGTGGTTAACCCTACTGCAGAAACACTGGTGCAGATGCAGCTAGAAAACGGAGAGAGGGCCTATTTCCAATGGTGGAACACAGTCCTGATCAAAAGTTTAAGACCACTTGAAAAATGGCACAAAAAAAAAATCATATTTTGTATGGTTGAATCTTAACAAGGTTCCAACTGGAGCTCGAACATGCAAAAAGAAGAAATGGGAGTGAAACAAAAAATGTTTTAGAAGGTTATTGAAAACAACGCTTAAACTGAAACAGGCTGTTTTACAGTTGATCAAAAATTTAGGACCACACCTCCAAAAAACCCCAGTAAACCCCCCAAACAGAAATCAAAGTTCCAAACATGAACTCAGTAATGAGTTATTTGAATTATTGTTGATCACTTTAAAAAATAATATAAGTTGTTATATATTCAAACTGCTCGAAATGAATAATTCAATACATCAAAAACACATTAACAGGCTTCCATATACTCTACATACGGGTTAAAGGCTATTCTAAAATCTTAAACCAGAGCAATGCACAAAGATCAAACGATCAAGATCAAATTACTGCCCAGACAGTGACTGAAATGGAAAGAATAAAACCCGAACGAAAGAAGGGAGAAAACAAAGCATAAAGGCAAAGCAGCAGCACTTCTGTAAGTGTATGCCAGAGAAACAGTAGCGGCGCCACTGTAATGCTATCAGCCGCCCACCTAGGACCAGACATGCTGTGAATGCACGGTAAAATTAGCATTTACAGTAAAAGACGATTGTGACAGAAATAAAGCTAAGACCGTGAAAAATCAAAGTTACAAACGGCGTCTTCCAATTCTTAGAGTGGAGTTTTCTGCAGCTACGACCTATAAACACACCCGTTTACTGCGAAGTAAAATTAAACGCACAGAATTAAAACATACCAGTAATCGGTGGAGGGAAAACTTCAGAGGAAACTATCCGCAGGTGATCTCTACAAAAACATGAGTAGCACCAATCAACAAAAATGTAACCAATTCAGTCGGAGGGAGCAGAACAATTTACACAACCTCTACCTGTAACAGCTCGAGTGACGAAGACCCGGATGTATACAGCAACAGGTGAGCTAGTGAGGGATGCTTAAATGGAAGGGCATCTAATTCGTGATATCGTACCACATTTTTGTTCTGAAATAATCCCCCTTCCTTTAATTTTGTGCTGGAGACTGACGAGGTACAACAGGCCCGGCGGGGGGGAGATATAACCCCTTTAAAGCAGTCCCACATATTTCTTTATTTCTATTCATATTCATATTCATAACTTCAAGATTTGACGCAAAAGTAATGTCATCCAGAGTAATAGATAGTCTCGAGGACAAGTGTAAAAATAAATGTCTTCGAAGACATTTTACTTTTACACTTATTTACATTTATTTTACAGAAATAGAAACCGAAACTCTGCCAAGTAAAAACTATGATCAAGCCATTTGCATCACATTCATTTGCAAATCGTATAAGGCTAATTCAAAGACTTCGTTCAGGAGGAACGCCCTCCTCCCTGCCATCATTGCTTTACCACAGTCACAACAAAAACAAACATTACATCATTTGACAACACGGGGCAGACGTGTGTATGTGTGTGCGTGTGTGTGTTGCGGGAGCAAGAAACCAATGATGTCGATATGGAGGACCAGAAGAGCCAAGTGCATCGAAGTGCATCTGTGTTAAAATAATGAATTGTGTAACAAAATACAAAATGATTTTATTCATTTAAAAATTACTAAATTAATGTATTACTTAATAACTTAATAACGCAATTTATAAATCAATGTTTCAAAATTAATTATTAATCAATTAATAAATACTTCAAACTAAAACAGATTTCACAATTTTTTAACTCTCAATAAAAACCTCATTTCAAAAAGCATTTTTAAATTCCAAATTAGAAAAAACAGATTTTCAAGTTGCAATTTAAAAAAGAGAAATAAGTAAATTAATTCAAATATCAAGGTTTTTAATTTTCCTTTTTTGTTAAAATCCAAGTTGAATTTAAAGTGTTTAATTGGATAGATAATTTAGTTTGAAATATTGATTTGCAATATTATAAATATGTATACATATATACTGATATGGGCAGAAGAAAACTTGAACAAAGCTAT